GCCGAAGTTTGATCTTCGACAGAAGTGGAGCGGAACCGTCCTTCAACACACTAACCCAAATCACTGTTGGCCGTCTACGGGTCTTTGGCCTTCGGTTAGGCAAGCGGCAGCTCTTTTGCCTTCCTTTCTGAAAACATGACGTTTCTAAAGCATCGCAGCTGTTGCTTCTCAATTCGGGGAAGCAGCGGCTGTACACCAAGGTTCTCTCAACTGTCTGTTCTCTAAACCATGCCAAGACGCGTACGCGTCAGCCGAAACGATTCATCTCTGAAACTCTGTTTCAGACGCTTGTGGAAGATGTCGAAGTTTTTCAGCCATTGTAGTCATGGCTGTACGCAAAAATTGGGATGAAAATCGATTTGAACACCGAGAGCCTGGTCTTCATACTCAGCTCTACTTTAGACATACTCGTCTGAACTACTTTACGCAGAACCCCACTGACTACTCCGATCCGCGGTTCTATCTCTTCCTCTCATTTTTCATGACCTGTAAACACAACTCCGAGGTACTTGAACCTCACCACCTGTTTCTGACAGCACAAAACAAGGTCTCATGCAAACTGCAACTTTCTCGTCTCTACATCTCCTACACTGACTCATCGCCTTCACTGCGCTGGGGTAACGAAACAGGAGAAGAGCTAGAACGTAGTCTTGACAGAAACCAAAGCTAACACTGATAGGCTTTCGACTTAACGCCATTTACTCTGTCGCAGCACCTGCTGCCAGCATGTAGCAATTGGATGGCCCGTAGCAACTGACCATCTATCCTGTATGTTCGCAAGCATGACCACAGACCATATGCTTTCTCCAAGACCGTTAGACACGTGTAAACTGGATGAGCGAACTAACAAGATTTCTTAACACTCTGACCTAAGGTGAAAATCTTGTCAGAGGTACTTCAGCCTAATCTGAGGTAACATTGCACTTCTCGCATCTTCGAGTCAGTTATCAAGCGGCACCTCATTTCTAACACCATTTCTCAGGAGGCCTTTTTCTGGAGGTTCAATAATGTAATGCCCCAAGAACTGGAGCGCTACCTATGGTTTCACTTCTTGAATAGTGCTACTGCAAATCCCGTTCTCCAGTCCACTCATGCCTTCCCTGTAGCTTTTGCAGCTTGATGGACACCCGTTAGCGACAACATACCTTTTTCACCGAAAGCTTGTTCATCGTGGATTTCATCAATTTCATCAGCCTCGTCTATTTTCAGGCTCTTTAACTTTTCTACATAGAGGCTAGTATCCTGCTGCTCGTCCTCAAGTGTGTCTTCCTGCGGTTGTTGGGATTAAGGAGTTACTCTCTCCATCTCCCAAGTATACCCTCAAGAAAGCGTCCGGACGCCTAGATTGTCAAAGACGCAACTAAACACAGGTTTGTTTTTGTTGCGCAAGTCGCGGAAGAGCTTTTACCTTCAAAATCATGCATATTATTCTGAGTTAAAATCAGCACGATGTAGAACAAAGGGTACATGATTAATAAACTGTTTTTAGCGCTAGCTATTTTTGAGCGTTAGTCATACGCCTTTTTCTTCTTTCAAAATGTAAACAAGAGGAAACTTCAGCAATATTCCTTCTAACCTTAGCGATAAACCATTTATATCACGCTGTCTACCCATGAATGAAGGATATGATTAATCGATTTTAGGCCTGGGGACAGTGGCGCAGTTTATTAGTAAGTCTGAACGTTAGAGTGAAGGTTCAAGCGCAAAGAACGGTCTGAAGTTTCCTGTATTACGTACTAATTCCCTTTGGTCAAGGCAAATCGCCCCACTGGTCATTGACCCGCAAATAATGGGGGCTGAATGGTGCTTTGGTGTTGCCATACCAAAGACTGCGAGACATACGCCCTGCTTCTGATGCGCGCACTGTATGGCTGCAATTCGCTTTCACCCTCGTGATAGCCCACTAAAAATCGGCAAAGAGGGCAAGCGCAAATTTAAACTTTAAAAAGGATTATGAGAATTTCTAAAAATGAATTATTAACTCAAGGTCTTTTGGCCTATGAGATTCTTTGCGAGCAACAGCAAAATAAAGCAAGTATAACTCTTTTTATCAAAACGTAATTCAATGAAAAATAATTATTACGTTACCCCAAGTAGTAAAACCATGCCCAAAGGCAGGCGAGACCAATAACCTCGAGTACGAATATTGGTATAATGAAGTAGTTAATCCGTTGGTACTTTTGAGGGCCTGCAGTGCCGTACTGACTGGCAGAGAGGACCTCGCTCTGAGCTTGGCTGGGCGGAACGGACATCTTGTATAATCTTCGAGGCTAAAAATAAAGACATCAATTGACGTACATCAAGCTGAACAC